TAAAAAGATAAGCAATACTAATCAATTCTAATGATCAATCAGCTCCGCGCTGTGTGAAGCTTGCAACGCAGGCTGTAGTCTATAATGAGCCTGTACGCTTTTCTGAGATGAAATAATTGGGTTTTTAAAAGTGCTTTTCTCTACTAAAACACTGAAATTACAAGATTGTTCTCTTGAGTAAAAAACATGTTAATATATTTCTCCTGCTAAAGTCAAACCATTTTATTGTGGCGGGAGGGTACATGCCCTGCTGAGAGAACATACGTGGCTGCCGTTTCCTGAGAGTGTTTCGTTCCAGTAACAACCCACTCTGCCCTACACCCCAGCAGGTGAAAATGACTCACTTCTAAATCCAGTGAATAGCGAGACACATTTAAAACTTCGATGTGTATTTTACAAGAAGATGTTTAATATGTAAGATATTTGATAAAATTTTCTTCATCGATTAGTGTATCAAGAAGGACCACTTAAATCTCCACATTGTAAGAAGTTATTGATTAATGCCACTTGTCAAGGGATTAGAAGGTTATGGGAATTTAATAAAATTCACACATGAAAACACATTTCCCCTCTTTTGGAAAACACACAATTTTATCTCACGTTTCTAGAACAACATTAACTGAATGTAGGCTAACAATTTGTGTTAGTGTAGCTAGACAATTGATTTACACTTCGATCTTCTTAAATTTTCTGTGATATTGGAGTTGATATTTTGACACTGAAACATTATAAGCTATATTTTTTTTTCCCCACTCTCACCATTTTTATTCCACATAGTGCTGGAAGCGCTTTTGTTTTAAATTAATTTTTATTGGAGTATGGCTGCTTTACAATGTTGTGTTAGCCTCCACTGTACAACAAAATGAATCAGACATACAGATATCCCCTCCCTTTCGGACTTCCCTCCCATTTAGGTTACCACAGAGCACCAGGTGAGTTAGTTCCCTGTGCTATACAGCATGTTCCCATCAGTTGTCCATTTTATACATAGTATCAATAGTGTATATGTGTCCATACCAGTCTCCCTATCCCTCCTCCCCCACCCCTTTCCCCCTTGGTATCCATACGTTTGTTCTCTACATCTGTGTCTCTATTTCTGCTTTGCAACTAAGATCACCTATACCATTTTTCTAGATTCCACATATATGCGTTATTATACGATATTTGCTTTTCTCTTTCTGACTTCACTCTGTGTGACACATATCTTGCTGGAAAAGTTCAGGAAAGGTGACAACTGATATCAGTATAACATTGAGGGAAATCAGACTGACTCCTGATTCCTACAAAGGTGTTTCCATGTACCAATCTTCCCCATGAAATAAAACATACCTTTCTGAAATGAAGGAAGGATGCTATGGAAAACTGGGTGGTATAAAATGCTCGCACTATTCCCTTCACCTTCTCTAACTTATTCTCTGCCCCTTTACCATCTACACCGTCTTGGTGACCGTTTTTGATTGTGCCCATTCTGTCCACTTGTGTATACTGTGAGTGCCTGATGATTTTGTGGTAATCGGTTGCTCTATTTGATTGCTTCTAGTACATTCTCTACTTTATTAATCTCTGCTGACAGAAAAAAATTAAATCTTCCCAAACCACCAGATACAATAATTTGTGTGCAAATCCTCTAGGAACCTCTACACAATTTTTCAAGCTTATGTATAATGTCATGATCTGAGTGCTTTATAACACTTATTCAATTTAAGCTGATTTAGGCAAGTGCTATGTCTCATTCTTCGTATATTTAGACTTTTCCTAGTCAAGTCTAGCACAGAACATGCTCAATCAAGGTTAGTTGAATTTAATTAAGTTCCTTTTCCATGGAAATACATTCTTAACTCCATTCAATAGTTGTTCTTCAATGTCTGTCCAACACCCACCTTGTTTCAACAGCACAGCGTAACAGACACGCAAGTTTCCTCTCAGATAATATAACACATTCGGCCTCTCCTGATCTTTTGCCTGTTTGTATACTCATCCAAGCAAAGGTTATTGCCGAGGTCTTGCATGTGAAGAAATTCAATTAACGTGAGCCCGTTTACGAAAATGCTCTTTACACGGTCATATTTTGTAATCAGAGCGTTACAGCGTCCTTTTAAAGCCTAGCCCTACTTCCATCCCTTTCAAAAAGCCTTCCGGGCTTCTAATTCATAATTCTTGCTGCTGTGTGAAGCCTCTGGATGGCCAACATCAAGGTAAGAGATGGAGGCCTGCATCAGGGTGATAAAGACGGAGACTGAGAGTAAAATTGTTGCCATTTTGGTGATGGAAACTGTTAGAATTAACAATGGTTTAGATGGAGGTGGGGTAGGCTGAATAATGACCCCCCCAAAGATGGGGGACCATGTCTGAATCCCAGCAATTGTGGCTTGTTACCTGGTGTGTTCAGAGAGACTTTGCAGATAGGATAAAGTGGAGGATTTTGAGATGGGGAGAGTACCCGGGATTACACCCGTGGGCTCAGTGTGGTTATATGGGCCCTGATAAAAGGGAAGTCGGAGGACCAGAGCCAATAGTAGGAAACAGGACCATGGAAACGGGGTTAAAGTGATACGAAGAGGGAGCCAGGAGCCAAGAATGCAGGCAGCCTCTAGAAACTGAGGAAACATGGAAACGCTTCTCTCCTGAAGCCTCAAGAAGAAGCACAGCCCTGCTACATGTTGATTTTAGATCTCAAACCTCCAGAGCTGAAAGGGAATAAATGTGTGTTGTATTAAAGCCACTAAGTTTGTGGTAATTTGGTGCAGCAACAATAGCAAAGCAATATAGAAAAAATGAGCTAAACAATCAAAGAGATCTCCATCAGACATGACTAAGGCTCCCCCCGCCACGAGTGACGTCCTGGAGGCCAGATGGGGAGACAACTTCCACCTCCACCTGGTAGTAATGAGGTCCCCCTCCCCTACAGTACTGGGCTGGTGTCAGTGGAGACCAGTCAGTGGGAGCAGCGATGAAGGCCTCCTGACCCCCGGGGCAGGGAAGTACCCATGGGAATGGGAACCTCCGCCCATGCCCAGCAACAGCAAGGGTGCTTCCCACTATGTGTCAACGGAGGCCCAGCGGGGACCTTGGACCTCTGCCTACCCCTGTGTAATAAGGGGGGACCCACATTCTCCCGCTGGAGCAGTATTAGAGGGAAACCTCTGAAATAAAAGGTTTATATAAGCTCCTGAGCCTGGATTAAAATTACCGCAGAATCATTAATATTATCCATTTAAAATGAACTGGTACATCTACATAAATAAGCAATAGGTTGCTTAAAGACAGAACTATCAAATCTAAAAGTCTCAGGCCAACATTCTCGGTTTCCTCCAAGCTTCAGTCTCGCTAATGTGGTTGGCTTCTTTTTTTTTTTTTTTTTTTGCGGTACGCAGACCTCTCACTGTCGTGGCCTCTCCCGTTGCAGAGCACAGGCTCCGGACGCGCAGGCTCAGCGGCCATGGCTCACGGGCCCAGCCGCTCCGCGGCATGTGGGATCTTCCCAGACCGGGGCACGAACCCGTGCCCCCTGCACCGGCAGGCGGATGGGCTTTGCCAGTGGTGACCTCTTTGTATGCTTCTGAAATTTTTTAAATGTAGTGTACGTGAATGGAAGCTGTTAATCCAAACATTCTTTTTCCTGTGCTATAATTAGACTTCCCAGTCATCCAGTATTTTCAATAATAGCATAGTTTCCATCTTGGCCAAAATGTAAATGCCAGCGAGGAAACACGTTTCTGGAATGAAGCTGCTTCTTTCTTTTCACCATGTCAGTGTGCCAGAGATGAGGCATTTGATTTCAATAACCTTAATCCACATGAAGAATGTTCTGCTTTGATATCACGCATTTTTTACTACAGCATTATTCACCTACCTGTTAGTTTGAATCCAGTGACGGTTGAACTTTTTTTAATACACTTCCTTATCAATACAAGACATAAATGTCCTTGGTATGGTTCCTGGTTCCCTGATTGGACGCTGAATAAGGTAAAAATAAGAAATATTTACCTTAACCCATAACCCCATGTCCTGACACCCTAAATATGTTCGTCTCACTTTTAACCACATTGTGAATTTGTTCACGGGTGTTTACTAGGTTTTTGTCTGTGTTCCTATCTAGACTATGACTTACAGCCACAAAGCTCTGTCTTTTTACCGTTCAGTTCTCACTGCCTCGCCAAGGTCATGGATTAGCCACTTAATTAATGTTTGTAGGAGAAATGAGTGAATCACAGTAAACAGTCAGTTGAGTTGCTTCTTACAGACTTGGATTTTTGTCTCACAGTTTTTCTACTGTAGTAACTTTACACTATTTCAATGATTTCTGTAATTTGTCTATGCACACATTAGATAGATAGATAGATAGATGATATAAAAGTGAAAATTTTACCAATTTTAACCCGCTCTAGATGAGCAACATACCTTTTTATGGTCTAAGCTGTAGTTCCTTGGTTTATTTTATATTTATGCTTGCATCTTGTTCACAAATAATTCTGTAAAAAAGGTGTGCTTGGGGCTTCCCTGGTGGCGCAGTGGTTGAGAGTCCACCTGCCGATGCAGGGGACACGGGTTCGTGCCCCGGTCCGGGAAGATCCCACATGCCGCGGAGCGACTGGGCCCGTGAGCCGTGGCCGCTGAACCTGCGCGTCCGGAGCCTGTGCTCCGCAACGGGAGAGCCTGTGACAGTGAGAGGCCCGCGTACCGCAAAAAAGACAACAAAATGAAATGTTAAAGAAGATATTTCTATTTCTAGTCTTCCAAGGATTATATGGAAAAATATTTTTGAATGTTATTAAATGCATTTTCAACGCAAATGAATGTCTTAATTTGCAGCTGTTCTCATATGAAATATCTTATTATTTTGTTAGATATCTTAAACTTCATCATCTTTTTATTATTGTAATGAATTATATTCATTTATGCTGACATTAAATACTGTAGAATATTTCAATTTATATTCTAAGTTGGTAGAGGTATAGTTTATTTTTCCTGTGTTGTTTCCATATAAGAGTTGTGCAAGATTTAAAACTTAGAAAGCTTTGCACGTGTTTCTAGGATATAAAAACTGCATATAAAATGTGTTCCTTAATTTTTTTCTTATGTAATTCCCTGCAGTGGTCCGCTTTCTATGACTCATCATTATAAATGACTAGTGTTAGAAGATCCGCTCGTCTATCTTCTGTTCTACACACGAAGAAGTGGAAATCCAGGCTCTACATTACCTGTCCACTGTCACAGACGGCAAGGTGTCCGCACCCTCTCATAACATGTACACCTGCAGCCCCCGGGAGCGGCAGAGCCCGAGAAGGGGGTCTGGCTCCTGAATCACCATAGCCAGTAGCTCTGCCCGCCACACAGAAACACGGCCATTGCACGGAGCCTGAGCAAATAATAACAGATACGAATAAAAGGATGAATCCAGGTGTTCTGATTTCTAACCTGGCCATTTGCAGATTTAATGATTGCCCATTATTTAATCATGGCGATCTAAATATAAAAACAAATAAATATTGATATCAACTACTTTTGGGCCATGTAATTTCAGACAATAGTTATATGACTCCCCACTTGTCCTAGCTGGTCAGCACGTTCAGCAGAACCTCTGAAGACAGAAAGAAACACCAACATGTGAATACAGCCTATCCACGTGTACAATATATTGAAATTAGAAGCAACAGGAGAAAGAAGATAAATAGAGACAAATGACTCAGCTGAGCAAACAGAAATGCAGCTAAGGTCCACTGGAAATATGTTATTGTCTTTCTGTCTTTTTTGTTTTTGTTTATCTTCAATGCACCTGGGCAAAACTATGATTTCTAGCTATAGATGAGGCTGGCATTCACACGTAAATCCAGACATGGAGACAGCAAGCTCAGTTATAACATGAACCATGCTCCAAAATCAACACTACAAATTTGCAATGCTAACATGAATAATTAAAAAGCAGAATTAGTCTGACACAGTTACTTTTTTATTATGTTAACATTTTATGTAACGCTGGAAGGGGTGGTATTAAGTGAGTAAAATCCACATCTCGTATAATTACACAGGATTATCCAAATAATTGCTAAGATAATGATGCCACCGCCGCCTGCAATCAGTGACATGACGAAGGGTATGGGTAGCCAATCTGGTGGTTCCATCAAGACTAATATTAGGTGAACATGGAAAGCAGGTAAGTGCCCTGGGGTAAGCAGGTATCTCACACTAAAAAGAGGGACTAGGCTGAACATGAAGGAAAACTGAAAATTCAAATTCTAAAATAGAGCTAAGAATATATGTGATACAGGGGAAAATGGGAAATCTCAAGTACATACTAGTCCTGGGCACCAAAGAACTATATAGGTTTGAAGTTTTATTTTGTCTTTTATTATTACTTTTCATAGCTAAGATAGTTAATACTTAACCTGATATTCTTGAGCAGAGTTGAATTGCAACGATTTTTAAATTTGCACCATATATTCGAACTGCTTTGGAATATACATTCTCCACACATTTAAATGGCACTGTTTTGAAAGTATCATGGCTTAAGACATGGAAAGGGGTTGACAGAGTGCTGTTCATTACAAAATTCTTATAATTATTTTCAAAGGCTAGCTGGAATTTTTGTGAATAATGTATTAGCCTGAATTAATCTGAAAAGTAAATTATCTTTTAAACTTTTCTCCCTCTCATATAAATTAATGCTACTTGTGGGAATATATTGATTTGACTCAATCAAACAACACTTGTAAAGTTAATGAAAACCGGAGTATCTGTAGATTAAACAGAGGCTGAATTGCTTCATGATATTGTGTCAAGTGCAATGTGAGTATTGCTGTTGAATCCTGTTTTCCATTATTGCCGCAAAATGTTATTAAAAGCATTTGTGAATTCAAAATCATTAAATCTTTTGACCTCTACAAATGAAATAAGCCCTGAAGACACGGCATCAAAATTCTAATTCTCCTTCAAACCATTGTATATTTGAGGACTCTAATTGATTCATTAGTTTTTTTACACGATAAAGTTCATCTTGACTTTGCATTCCATTTTAATTACTTTAAGAGTTCAAAAGCTGATTTGAACTTATGATAATTTTACTTGAGATATGTTATCTTGAAAAATTTCCTCAAACTCTCATTTGCAAATACATACTCTAAGATATCGCAAACAAATTTAAAAGTAAAAGTAGCAAAAATGCAATTAACATAAATAAAAACAAGGATGTGTTTGCCAAATCCCTTCATCTTATTTTCTTACCACCCTGGCCTTTTCTCCATATGGAAATGCTAATGTGAAACCACAGTCTTCTGCCACTAAACCTCTTTCATGCCTCTTTTTAAATGTTTTATCCAGACTAGAGCAGGTAGTTGCTCCTGTGCTGAGCTGTGACTAGTTCTGAAACCTATTCTTTACAAACACTTCCCCAACACCCACCTCTAACATTTCATAATAATCACTCTTTAGGCGAAGGCTTTTAAATGAGCCTGTTAAAACACAGATGTTGGAGAGGGAAACACAGGGAAGACTAGATTAATTCAACAGTCCCAAGATATTTTTAAAGGATCATAGGGTTTATGGATAATTTTTATTCATAAAGTTTGGCCAAATGTGTTTGACAAATCATTTCTTTAAGACCCCACTTAATTCCACGTTCACTTATTCCTTCACTCCGTAAATACTTATTTCCTGCCATGGACCAGGCACTGCCCTTGGTACAGTAACTGTTGAGGCATTCTCCATGAGCGCATCCTCCTTTGCTCCACCCCACGGGGCATCCTTAGTTCTCCTGTAGTCCCACAACGTGCGGTCACTTAGCCTCTGCACTCACCCGTATTCCTTGTGGCTTCTGCTTCCTCTACCTGGACCGTCAGCTCCTGGAGGGTGGTGGCCTTATTCTGTACACAGCACTGATCAGCGTCTCGTTGTAATGGTGCTGGAGACGCTGGTAGCCTAGAAGTTAAAAATGTGTTGTATACATGTATATTCTTCGGCTTCCAACTCACATGCTGCATTTCCTAATGCCCTGTTAGGGCTGACTGGCTCACTACCTACTGACAATTTGAACTGATTTCAGAATATCCCGATAGCCTAAAAAAAACAGACTAAAAATAAAATAGGGCAATACTTCAAAATCCGGTTTTCCAATTCCAATCTTGAGGGACAATTTTCATAATATATTTATTTCAGAGACTTTTAAGATATTGATTTGGGGGAGGAAAGATGAATGTAGGAGTAGAATCTCTATTGCATTTAAGCTCTAGCTACATGGCTTTATCCACAAAATAGCTTCCATTAACAACAGTGTTCACTTAGTACCTACTATGTGCTAAAAAGATGTGCAAGGTGGTATCTCATTGTGGTTTTGAATTGCATTCCTCTGAAAATTAGTGATGTTGAGCATTTTTATGTACTTGTTGATCCTTTATATGTCTTTTTTGGGAAAATGTCTATTCAGGTTTTTTGCCCACTTTTTCAGTTGGGTTATTTGGTTCTTTTGCTATTAAGTTGTAGGAGTCCCTTATGTATTTTGGATATTAACCCCTTACTGGATATAGGGCTTGTAAATATTCTCTCACTCTCTATAGGTGCTGATCGTTTCTGTTGCTATGGAGAAACTTTTTAGTTGGATGTAGTCTCACTTGTTTATTTTTGCTTTCTTTGCCTGTGCTTTTGGTGTCACATCCAAACAATCGTCGCCAAGATCAGTGTCAGTGAGCTGTCGCCCTATGTCCTCTTCTTGCTGGACGCCTTAAACATGTGCAAGTTTAACACATCAGTCATCCTCCGATAAAGCTGGGGAAAGTAAAGAAAGAAATTGAAAAAAATATACAAGACACTGAGGTTTTCATTGTGAAAAATATGGGATCCTTGTCAATGCACTTAGGGTCTAGGAACAGCTAAATAAACCATTACAACAACCATCAAGGACTGTCTTGAGGTTTGTACAGAAAGCAAAGGAAATACATGGGAAGCACATCTATTCTATTTTGCAGGATTTTTTGAGAAAAGATAGGGAGAAATTAGCCAACAGGAGGAAGGTAAAGGATAAGCAAAGTGTTTCAGGTGGAATAAACTGGGAAGGTCCAGCGATGACGAGGGCTATTGTTTATTGATTAAGGTCATGGGAATGTATGTGCCCCATCTTAAAGCAGCAGAGGTAAGACACGTACATCTACCTCACAAGGGTTTATTTGTAAAGCTCAAATGAGAGTGTGAATGTGCATGAGAATATGGGCCCTTCTAACTTCACTAGGGTGGCTTATATTTACAGTAAAGACTTATGTTTAAATTATTATTCAATTTACTTAATTTATTGAAGTACAAGTAAAAATAATTTGTTATTAAATCTAGTTTATACATATTACTCTATTTATAAATATAGTACAACTTATCAAGTATTTACAAGGTTTTTATATTGTAGATGATTAAAATCTTTTATACCTTGTAAATATTATAAATTTAATACATCCAGTTTCCTGAGTACCTAATTGTCTATCTAACAAGCAAAATATTTCTAGTTATTAAATAAGTCTTATAAATCTAATGAGTTATACTCAAAAAGTTGATTATTATAAGTTCGAAATATTACAGTACTGCTTAAAATCTTAGTGAAAATTCCTTTATACCTTTCAATCATAAATGTTAAGGTAACGAGTCTCTTTACACATTTCAAAAAGAAAAATAAGTTTTATCTGTTAAGCCTCTAACCTGCCAAGTTCTTTTAAGCATAATAAACAAAACAATACTAAATGTTTGCAGTTGTTCTCAATGGAACACAAGAACATTCAGAAAATGGGCTTGATTTTCTTCATAGTGTTTCATATTTAGTTCAGTTTTTCTGGAATTCATATTCAATATGCTTACCCACTGACAATTATTACCATTCCAGACAAATCGAGATTCCCTTTTCAGTATTTTTATATCACCTTGATTTGTACCCCAGACACTGTGTGAGAGCAGGAAGCCCTAGAGTCACAAGAACAGAACTCCACAACTACTGGGGACTACAGGGTCTACAGACTCATCTGAGTTAAATCTGAAGCCTACCAACCAAATCTCTCCATCCACTGATTGAATTACACACATTTATTTACCGCTCAATTCTGTTCTGAAGTAATATTCCTCTTCTTCGCATCTGATAGGACCACAGTTTCTTTAGGTGTCTCCCTGATGCCCCACTGGGCCCCCTTCATCCCTGGAGGGTCTGTCACCTCACACACATCACTGATGTGTAGTCAGTGCCGGGCGCTGCCCTGGGCACTGACGTACAACCAACACACGGGAGACTCATTCTTTCATGAGGCTTCCATGCTAATGGATTAGTGTCCCACTAGCAGTTAGAGCATTAACTGAGATGGTGGAAGAGTAACTGAATGACTCCTTCCTTCGTTGGTTAGGTAAGCCCTTTTCAAAAGAAAATAAACAAGATGTGTAAAAATCAGAGAAGAAGAGGAGAGAAGGAAGAGCTAGTGGGTCGGGATTGAACACAATGTACTTCAGCGTCTGCACGTCAGTCAGTCAGGCCGGAACACAGTAAGTTAGGGAGAGAAAGGCTAGAGATAAAACCACAGCCAGACCTTGCAGACACTGTTAGGCAAAGATAAACTTGGGGTAAAAAGCCATCAGAGTTGTAAGCAAGGGTGCAGCATGGTCACACTTCAGAAAATCTTTCTATTGATTACTGTGTAAAAAACTGGTATTAAGGATTTAGAATGAAAGCAGTGGGACAAGGATGAAGTTAATCAGGTGATGGATGATGGTGAAATAAAGGTGGAGGTGGTGAGAAGAGGTCGGGCTCAGGAGGTTTTCCAGGTACAGAATAAGTAAGACTCGCTGATGGAGTGACTCTGGGCACTGTGTGTGGAGACACTCAATCACTGCTGATGGATTAACTTTAAAACTTGGGCTTTGAATTTATCATCAAAATGAACTTAGAGGAGTTCATTTAAATAAATTCCCTAAAATAGAAACTTACAACAGCTATTCGTGATTTAAAGGATGGAATAACAAGAGAATAAGATATTCAAAGTGGTTTAGGTAACTTCCAATTTCCAGTCAGGCATTTAAGGAGTTGGAAAGTCATGGCACCTACAACAAGAAAAAACTAAACCTACTGAAAATCAAAACTCTTATTAGATCCATCAGACAGGTGAGGTCAAACGGCACATGGCTGCCCACAAAGAGAGAACAGGCAGATACAGAGAATCACAACTCACCAGCAGAAGCTCAGGGGCATGGTTGTGGGAGCTCTACTGGGGGCATGTTGAGTTTGAAATGCTTATTTAACACCCAACTGGAAAAGTCAAAGGCACAGCCTGACATACCGGCCTGAGTTATACGGAGACGAGTCAGGACTTAGGAATATATTTGAGAGTCATGACCTATAGGTGTATTTAAGCCGTGAAAGAGTTGAGATCACAGACAGAGCAGGTAGATGGCCAAGGTTCAAGTGCCTGGCAGCCAGGGCTGCAACATTTTAAAGACAAGAAGAAAAGGAAGACAAACGAGGGAAAAGAAAAGAAAGGGAGTTCACGGGGAATACGGTATAGAAGGAAGAACTGAATTTTTGTTTGGATAGAAGCTCAGGGGAGAGAAAAAGAGTTCAAGATGGAAAACACGGTGAACGGTGTCAAATACTGAAAAGCATCTGGGTGAGGAATAAACAGAGGAGCAAGTGCTGGATGTGAGGACACGGACATGAGGCCAGAGCCTGACCAGGGAGGGTCGCGGTGGGGAGCGCGTGCGGAGAAAAAGAAGACAGCAGCTCAGCAAGTCCTCTGGGTAAACACAGGCGATCTCGTGCCTCTACTCAGTGGAGCGGAGAGATGAGGGGACAGCTGGAAACCACGTGCACAAGGAGGCAAGCACAGATGTTTTCATCAGGAGAAAACGTGGTTTTATGATGAAAGAACTTAAATAATAAAAATAGCTGTAGTGATGGTGCAGGGGAGAGAAGAGGTCCCAGCAGGAGCCAGGCTCTGAGAAGCGAGGTCACAGCTCTCAGGTGAGGGCAGGTCTCTGACAGGAGCGGAGACAGCGGTTCCCTGTCCTGGGGAAGGAGGTGGAGAAGCGGAAGGAGGGGCACGCACGGCTGATGCGCTGGTTAGGAAACAGAGGTGGAGAAGCGGAAGGAGGGGTGTGCACTCGGCTGATGCGCTGGTTAGGAAACAGAAAAGAGGAAGAGGACTTTTCCATTTTTCTCAATGACGCGTAAAGGAAGACCAGCAGCAGAGCGAGGAAGGTGGCTATAGATTCAACACTTAGGAAGAGACAGAAGTTGTCAAACAGAGGTTCAGAAAAAGCAAAAGACACGGTAAGGAAGTATGGACAGTTCGCTTGATGTGACAGTATCCGTTTGCAATCTGAGGTCATGAACTCGAGTGAGACGCGGGTACCATATTGCCGTGTTCCCAGGCAGAGGAGGGATTGAGGCATTCTGCCAACGTTTGCTTTCTCTCAGGAATTTAACAGGAGAAAGAGATGAGGGGCTAAGAATGCCTGCAAAAGAGAAATTATAGCAACTTACTGTGACATCCAAGCTGAGTAGGGAGGATCTGACAACAAAATAGTGAGAAGAGGCAGTGGCTTCACTGGTGGTGATGGCATGAGAGGTGTGACATGGAAATGGGGTAGGGAATAAGCAAAATCAGGTTTTATACAAATGAGTATTTTACTTTATAAATATTTGAAATTGTAGCAACTAAATGTGACTGAGTTATTCACAGGTGATTGTCCTTCTAAAGACACAGCATATAGACATACCCAGCATCAACATACTGATTATCAACTTTACACACGTGTATGTCTTTCAAAAAGACATGCATATTCCCCCCTTTGGGGGGAGAATTTATCATCAAAATGAACTTAGAGGAGTTCATTTAAATAAATTCCCTAAAATAGAAACTTACAACAGCTATTCGTGATTTAAAGGATGGAATAACAAGAGAATAAGATATTCAAAGTGGTTTAGGTAACTTCCAATTTCCAGTCAGGCATTTAAGGAGTTGGAAAGTCATGGCACCTACGACAAGAAAAAAACTAAACCTACTGAAAATCAAAACTCTTATTAGATCCATCAGACAGGTGAGGTCAAACGGCACATGGCTGCCCCCAAAGTTAGAGAGAACAGGCAGATACAGAGAATCACAGCTCACCAGCAGAAGCTCAGGGGCAGACAAGTTGAAATCTACACCTAGGCTTATCATATTCAAACTGCAGAAGTGAAAGACCAAGAGACGATCTTGAAAGAAGCCAGAGGAGAAAAGAAAACTTTACTTACAGAGGAGCGGGAGTAAGAATTACATCTGGCTTCTCTTCAGAAACCACGAAAGCAAGAAAAGAATGGGACAAAATACTTAGAATATTGCAAGAAAAAAAAACCACCCAGATTTCTGTACCCTGTGAAATTATCTTTCAAAAGTGAAGGAGAAATAAAGACTTTCTCAGACAAACAAAAACTGAGAGATTTTTGTTGCCAGTAGATCTGCCTGCTTTGCAAGAAATGTTAAAGAAATTCTTCAGAAAGAAGGAAAATGAGAGTGGTCAGAAACCAAGCTCTACATAAAGAAAGGAAAGACACTAGAAAATGAATAAATGGTAAAATAAAATATTCTACTTTTATTATTCTTAACTGACCTAATAGATAACAGTTTGTTTAAAATAATAACAAGGGCTCCCTGGTGGCGCAGTGGTTGAGAGTCCACCTGCCGAGGCAGTGGACATGGGTTCGTGACCCGGTCCGGGAGGATCCCACATGCCGCGGAGTGGCTGGGCCCGTGAGCCATGGCCGCTGAGCCTGCGCGTCTGGAGCCTGTGCTCCGCAACAGGAGAGGCCACAACAGTGAGAGGCCTGCGTACTGCAAAAAATAAATAAAATAAAATAATAACAAAACATTTGATGGTTATAGCTTACGAGTATATGAAATGAACAACAGAAATGTTATAGGAAAGGGAAGGAGGAATTATGAACACTCTGTAATAAAATATCTTCACTACCCATGAAAAAGTGATTTGTGTTGTTTGGAAGAAAACTTGGATTAGTTGTAAATGTGTACAATAAACTCAAGGGCAATACTAAAAAAAAAATTGATATGCCAAGAGAGAAGAAATAAATGGAGTCACTGGAATCATATATCATTTTAAATGCCAGTGGTCTAAACTCACTAATTAAAAGACTCAGACTATCGAGTGGATAGAAAGACAAACCCAACCATATGTTGATCATAAGAAACAGTGATTTAGGCCACACGTCATGATGTTCTGCTGTAACATAGTCTCTCCGTATATACTATACACACCTTCTTAGCCTGGACGCGGACTCTTAAGACATCTACTGATATAGTGATTAGAATATCCACGCTTCCTCACTTGGTGAAAGCACACGGCATCTCCCGTGGCTGACGGTTTACTGTTCTATTTGGGTAATTACATAATTCGGCTATTCACCTAAAGCGCTGTTGACACCTCTCTGATTCCTAGCTGGGCCCAGGGTCCTAGAAAAGCGCTCGTTAAGTGCCCCAAAGCAGACTTTTCCATCAGGGTGATGTGTCTCCTGGATTTTGACCTGATTTAGGAACCAAGACCAGCGTCTAAAATCCCTAGAGAACATGGCATAGCAGGGCCTACACTGACCAGGTGATCACGTGTGCCGTGCCCCTGGGCATTCACTTCCTCGGTGCTACTGGAGAAACGGTCTGAGCCCTAAGCTATCGTGTTTTCCACTCGACTGGCGATTAGGTGTATTTACCTCCCAAATGTGTCTCCACCTGGGAATGCCAAGAAACCACCTGTAAACATTCTTTGCGTGCTTTAGGAGAGGACTTATACTAATATTGGGTCGGCAGGCCACAGACTGAAAACTCCGGAGAGGAATTATCAGGCTAACAGAAGCATCCCAAACTCACCTCCCTTAGGCTGGCAAATTTCCATTTCTGATTTCCTTACATGTGTTTCATCCCCAGACACAGTCTTATATTCAGAAGAGCAAATCTAGTCCTTACCTGCCACAGGCAACCACAATCTGCTTCCCATTACACACAAGCAGACGCCTGAGCAACAGACCATCTTGACATACGGCCACACAGAACGTGACCGCTATGCCGTTTGGCGTTTTCTACGCTAGATGGTGGTGGTATTTCTCAAAGTCATTGGGAGAAACTAGGATTGTACACATGCCCTTGAAACCACAAACTGAGGAGCGATGTGGTCATTTACCTAGAGGATGAATCAGGAGCATCACATCACTTCTTTTCACCAAATTATCCAGGTGGGATATTTAGGCAGAGCTAAAAATATCCTCTCCTATGGACGAAACTGAGGTGTCTCCCTGTGCTGGCTTTCGGTCAGCACCACACCCAAGAAAGGTAGCTCAGTGTATCTCCCTGGTGCTGAGTTACCCTCATGGCAACGTGCTGTCGCGTCCTTCTGGGGCTGTGGCCCATGTGGGACTGAGGCCCGTGGTCTCCCCACGTGTACTAACAGCCTGTCTCCCCCCCATCCTTGACCGGTGGTCAAGGTACCCACTTCTGACGTAGAGCTTACGCATGGCGCCTGCAATAGCGGGGACCTTGTAACATGTCTTGGCCCCCGCCCCGAGGAGAGGTCATGGGACTTGGCAGGTAAAGGATCACAGTGCTGCCTAGGTAGCAACTTAGTATTGGAGCTGTTTTCACAATTACCTGTACATTGGCAAAGCTCTGACCCACTCTGACGTACCTTTAAGAAATTCAGTGGAAGCCATTTAAGGACTTCCCTGGCGGTCCAGGTGTTGAGACTCCATGCTTCCAATGCAAGGGGCGCCGGTTCAATCCCTGATCGGGGAACTAAGATCCTGCATGCCGCATGGCACAGCCAAAAAAAAACAAAGGAAGCCATTTAATGTCAAGTATAAAGGGATGAGTGTCACCATGTGTCAACTTCCAGCACCTCCCACACATACGTGCAAGTTTAAACATGGACCTGGGACCACTGAATTGGGCAAAATGCAAGAAATATTTCGTGATGGTCAAATATAAATTTATATCATTGCATCCTTCCCCACTTCTCCGGCCAGAGCATGAAGTGCGTGCTTCACTCCCCCTCATGTTCGTCATAAAGGCACGGTCAGCTGGGAGTCAGCCACACTTCTGAACCGTTTTTCACCCTGTTTACGTAACAAGTGTTCACATGGGTCATTGCAATTTTCAATGTGACTGCTGCTCTGAGGGTGACGGGGAATGTGGTCTGTTCATGGAATTATGTCTTACTGCCTTTTTTTTTTTTTTTTTTTTTTTTGCGGTACGCGGGCCTCTCACTGTTGTGGCCTCTCCCGTTGCGGAGCACAGGCTCCGGACGCGCAGGCTCAGCGGCCATGGCTCACGGGCCCAGCCGCTCCGCGGCATGTGGGATCTTCCCGGACCGGGGAACGAACCCGCGCCCCCCATCGGCAGGCATACTCCCAACCACTGCGCCACCAGGGAAGCCCTCACTGCCTTTTCTTTTTGTCTTAAAGAGACAACCACAGGCTAAATAGATAGAGAACTTGCTGTTTTCAAACCTTTCATTGTTTTTTCCAGAGATGCTTGTGCTACAAGGTGGGGAAAGAATAGGTTAGAATAAGCGTGCGTTTCAGTCAACACCCGCCTGTCACCCGCCAAAGGAGTCAAAAGGCCACCAATGCACTCACACCCTTTTCTGGGGAGTTCCATCAGCAGCTGTTCTCAAGTGTTTGTTTCCTATTGGCGATAGATGCTATTTCTTATCACGTCGGTGGTTTCCTCTCGTCCGAGTTCACTCGGCTACAACACAACACCACAGATTGGGGGGCTCGTAAACATCAGAAATTGTTTTCTCACCCTTCTGGAGGCCCAGTGCAAGTTGAAGGCACCAGCCTGGTTAGGTCCGGTGAGGGCCCTCTCCCAGCTTCACAGCCAGTCCTTCTCACTGTGTCGTCACAGGGCCCAAGAGCCACAGGGCCTCTCTCAGGTCTTTTTATAAGAACGCTAATCCCATTCATGGGGGCTCCACCCTCAGGTCCTCATGACCCTCCCAAGGGCCCACCTCCCAACACCACCATCCTTGAGGGTTAGGATTTCAACATACAGATTTTGGAGGGACACAGACATTCACACCTTAGCCCCTCTGACGCGAGGAATGAGCCATCTCTCCACGCGGGGTGAGTGGCCTAAGTGCCTGCCTACATATTTCACGAGCTCAGCTAAGAAGCAGGCTAAGGCACCTTCCTTCGCGTTGCAATACCCTCTGAGCTGGTGACAGCTTTTTATGGGGGCGGGGGGCAGGGAGGGTGGACAACTACATGATCCAACTGAAATGTCATCGATGTTTACACACAGGGGACACTCATGGGGAACACTCCTTTCTGCCCTGTATTTTCCTGACAGTGTATGTTTGATAACTGGATGTAACCAGAAGACAAACTTACAACGCTTCAGTTATTAACACCGATATTCATTAGTGCCACAGATTAATGTAATATCCCTATAAAAATTTTAATAACTCACTAACCAGCAGAAGTATAGGTACTTTTACTTCAAAATTGTTACAATATTCAAACTCTCTGCCTACAGAGAAAAGCATTTACTAGTTTAACATCAATAATCAAAGACATAAGTCATGCCCTAGAAACCTGTGATTTAATATTTGGGTTTTTTTAAAATTTTTGGTTGCTTCTTTGTTTTTACAAAATATTACTTCCCTTTAAAGGTCTAAAGCATCTGGTTACATTATGTAGCTCACCCTAAGATACTTTTAATAAAGTACCCCATTAAATTATCCTGATACATCTCACCTAAAAGTAGAGTCTTATGAAAATATTCCAAGGAAATTAACATGAGGAAACATATAAGTTGCCCCTTTTAATGGAATGAAAATAAGGTAAAAAAAAAAAAAAAAAAAAATACAAATGAAGCATCAATATTAATGCAATAAGAGAAAAAATTATGAGGTGGCAAAAGAATGCTGCAGAATACTCATATCAAGTGACATATCTCCCAAGTCAGAGATGAGCTGATATGACACTGACAGATTCAGCCTTTGCTCGCCAAGCTCAGCGAGTGCCGGCCGTCACGAATCCGTCTGCAGAGGCAGGCTGCGGGCAAAGCAACTTCCTTGGCAATGCCGATATATTGTGAGAAGCCTGAAGGAACTATTTCTGTCTAAAGCCCAACAAGTATGAATTCCACAGAATTTAATTAAAAACATCTATGCATGTCAATTTTTTAAAATAATAGGAATACAATGATAGATTTGTGAAATAATCTCAAAAATACATCACTCTTTCCGGAGCAAATAAAAATGCCCAATTGGATATAAATAAATTGCACAAGGATTATGTCTAAATTTCTAACATCAGCAGAACTGAACAGAAATAAGATTAGTATGGCTTTTTATTATCTGTATTAGGATTAATTAGAAGAATATGGAAGAAGCATCAGTGAGATCGAGTTAGAGTCCACATATCTGGGAACCAAAATAACCATGGTTTAAACAAGATAGTGATTTCTTTCTCTCGTAAAAGAATGTGAAAGCAGGACATCCGATAATATCTATGGCAACTCGTGACTATCATCAGAGAAGCAGTCTCCAAACCTCTGTTCTACCAACCTCAGCGCAAACAGCATCCTCAACTTACCTCATGCTCCAACAGGGGTCCGTGCAACTCCGTCATCCTGTCAGCCTAACGGGCCGTAAAAAGGAGGAGAGAAGATGAAGCTCAGTCCAAACGACCTCAGGAAACTAGACTGAAATCTCATGGAATAATGTCGCTTCAATATCGTCACTTAGTAAAAAGGCCACACCTAGGAGCAAGGATGCAATCATTTAATAAAATAGCAAAATGTTAACATTAGGGTTTTTCAACTAAAGAAGGAGGAGGAAAAATTGATAATTTTTTGGCAATTGGCAGTTTCAGCCAGAAAAAGGAAAATGAAAAATGTATGTTATTATTGTAATTGTTAAGAAGACCAATTTTGTTTGGAGTTAGACATCCTAGACTGAAATCCAGGTTATGTGAATTCCAAGGTTACAGATCAGGGCTAGTTATGTCAGCTCCCAGGCCCCCTTTCCAACTGTGAAATGGAAATAATGATCAGACCTCCCATATGACTATTTCAAGGACAAAACAAGATACTAATGAACTGCTAGATTGGATTTGGTAATACTTTGTTGAGGATTTTTGTATCTTACTTCATTATAGATACTGATGTGTAGTTTTGGGAGACTCTGTCTAGTTTGCATATCAGGGTAATATTAGCCTCATAAAATGAGTTGGTAAATCTTTCTTTTTCTTCTATTTTGTGTTTGTAAAATTGGTCTTAACTCTTTAAAATTTTGGTAGAATTCTTCAGTAAAACCATCTGGGCCTGAAGACTTCTTTTTCAGGAGCTTTTAAATTACAAGTTCAATTTCGTTTATAGTTACAGCAAGATTCAGCTTTTCTATTTTACCTTGGTTGAGTTCTGTTCGTTTATGGTTTTTGAGGAATCGGTCCGTTTCAGCTAAGGTAGCAAATTTATGAAAGCAAAGCTGTCTGTAGTATTTCTTTATTATCTTTTTAATGGCTACAGAACCTGTAGAGGTATTCTGGTTTCATTCTTGATATTGGTGACATTTTTGTCACTATTTTTGCTTCACAAATTTTATAGCTTTTTTGCTCAACACATGCACATTTAGGATTACTATGTCTTCTTTGTTAATTGACCCTTTAATCATTATTTAATTGTCCTCTTTGTCTCTAGTAATTTTCTTTGATCTGAAGTCTACTTTACCTGATTTTAATATAGCCATTTATGCCTTTTTAAATTAGTGTTTTCATGGTGTATTTTATATTCATGTACTTTCAACCTAACTATATAACTGTCTTTTAAGTAATGTTCTTGTATATCGCCTATAAATGATGGTGTTTTGTTTTGTTTGATCCACTCTGCCAATCTCTACCTTATAATTGGTGTATTTAGATCATTTACATTAATGGTACCTATTGATGTGTGAGAGCTCTAATCTGCCATATTAATATATGCTTTTTGCTTGTATCCCTCCATTTCTTGACTGTCTGTTTCTCTTTTTTTACCTTTTTTCCGGTTACTTGAATATGACTTAGGGTTGCATCTTGATTTATTTATGTTGTCTTTTTAATGTTTTGCTTTATATAATCCTTTTAGTTGTCACTCTGGGTATTAGAACATACAGTACGTAATCACTGCCTACTGCTATCAATGTTTTATCATTTCAGAAGGAAATCCTACTTTCACTTAGGTCTCTGCATACTCCCCACTCCTTAAATATACTTTTCTTAAGTATCTCTTTTGCATCCAGTCAGCATCCTATCACTTGGTGGTTATCATTTTTTGCTTCAGCTATAAAATACCATTTAAGAACTTCTAAGACAAAGAGTAGTCTATCATATTTATTCTTATTTTTACTCATTCCCATGTTTTCTTCCATTTCTGAAGTTTTAACCTTTCCTCTGTCATCATTTCCTTTCTCTTTATGGACCTTCTTTAGCCATTCTTTAAGGGTAGGTTTGTTAGTAACAAATTCTCTGAGTTTTGTTTCTACTGAGAATGTCCTGATTTCCCTTTATACTTAGAGATATTTTTACTGGATAGAAATCATGGCTGGCTGTTCCTCTCTTTCAGGATTTAACACGTGAGCTGCTACTTTTATGGCCTTCATGGTTCAGATGAATCATCTGTTAACCTTCAAATTGCTGTTTCCCTGCAGGTGAAGTGTCATTTCTCCTAAGACGCATCCAAGGTTTTTTGTTTGTTTGGTTTTTTTTTTGTCTTTATTTTTCAGAAGTTTTAGTTATGATCTATCAGCACAGAAGTCTTCGTGTTCATCCTTTTTGGGGTTTACTTATCTACTTAACTGTGAAAAGGATCAGAATATGCCACCCCAAAATATGCCACTTTGGGATAAGGATTATTTTGACCTGAATATTTCTGAGATTCAATGCTGAATGTAGAAAGAAGCCTTCCCAGAGTTTCCTTTATCTGACTGAAAGCAGAAACTTCTGATAAAGGAGGACCGCCATAAATCCCCCCCTCAGGGAAGTTTTACGATAACGAAGAAGACAAGGTTGGCACCAGAATGAACCTTCACAAAGAAGCCTTTTTGCTAAGATAGCCCTTACCTTGCCTTAGTCTAACACATCTACCTACCCACAGTTCGCAGCCCTTAGAAGCCTAAAAACCCTTTTTGTTTGCGAAGTCACATCTTTGCAGTTTATCACCCTATGTTAAAAATGGAATCTAAGCTCTCAGGCCTTTTCTAGGAAGGTGCCTGTGTCATGTAAAAATTAACATCAAGTAAAATTTGTACTCCTTTTCTTCCTGTGAATCTGTCTTTTGTCAGTCTAATTTGCAGGGCTCCGTCAAAGAACATAAGAGGATCATCAAGGAAAAAATTTTCCCACCCCTACAGTTTTGTATATTTGTCTTTTATCCTACCGGAGAAGTTTTCAGCCAATTTTTCTTTGAATACTTTTTGAGTTCTAGTATCTCTCTTTCTTGGACTTCAATCCTGTGAACATTAGCTATTTTGTTACTGACTCACAGATCCCTGAGACTGCTCATTTTTTTTTCATTCTATTTTCTTTATGTTGTTCAGATTAGGTGAATTCTATCAATCTGTCCTTCATGTTGCAGATCTACTCTCTGTCATGTCCACTCTACCACTGACCCCAGTCAGTGGGAGGTACATTCTACCCATCAATGGGGCCCTGCTTTCTTCAGGGCGGCAGGGGTGGGGGAGGAGGAAGGTCAACTCCCACCAAAACCCAGGGCGGGGGAGAGAGCGGTTCCACTGGTGTTTGTCTAGGAAATCACTCATAGGTTCAAGAGGGACTCTAGGATTCCACCCAAATTAACAGATGGGAAATGTGTACTCCAGAGCAACCCCAGCAGTGAGCAGATCAGTAAGAAAGAATACGATGCCAACGCAAAACAACTGGAAAGAATAAAACCAAGGGTATAAGCTACTAAATTACGTATAAAGAATAAGAATATTTTCTCTTTAAAAATACATTTGGTTTAAACATCAAAACAAAGAATGAGTAGTATAATCAAATTTTTCAGGGAAAAAAAACTAAGGAATAAGTTTCAGGAATAAAACTAGGGACCTTTCTTATTTTTGCTGGTTAATTTGTAGGTAGCTATTGCAGTAATAAAGTCATCTCCCTAGTCTAATTACAGGAAGTGGAATAGGAAATAGACATCTAAGAAATGGAGATTAATCCAGGTAGAGCACATATTGGCAAACTTTGGTAGTTAACTGAGACACTTGAACGAAGCAGTAGATGCAAAAATTAAGAGACCATGCCCACTATATGGCAGTTCCCATCCATGGTTCACCTTGCCTTTCTCCTTAAACCAGGAAGGCAAAATGAGTTACCACTTTATAGAATACTAAAGGCCATTATCTAGACTAGGTTTTCAGGAACTTGGTTAGGTCACCTATGTTTCTATTTCTGATTGATATATACCCACTAAGAAATTCACAGAAATTAAAAATACTATACAAAATTCACCTAAAATTTTTATAATTTAAATTTGATGTGATGCATTTTTAAAAATTTAATCTTATGCCCCTTTTGCGTAAAAATTATAATAAACTGCCTTATTTCCTAGAATTATGGTTCCACCAAGATATATGAAGTACACGACTGAAAATGATGAGCTTGGTATTTGGGGCTATATAATAGACATCTATGTTGCAGAATTCTCTCACCCGGGATGGAAAAGAAGGAACAAGAAAAATTAAAGACTCTAAGCTTGGTGGCAAGATAGCAGATGACAGAGAGAAAAATGAGAGAGAGAGATTTCTGAATCATTTAAAATCCTTTAAGCTACAAGTAAAAGAACCCAATTCCAAATATGTTAAGATATAAAGTAGCAGGCGTTGGTCAGATGTCCTTCGAATGGACTCCAGCTCAGCGTCCACAGTTCTGTCCCCTTCCCACCTATGTGTGGCTTTTATCCTTCAGGTTTTGCACCAGGTCGGGCTCAGAGGAAGAGAGAATCCACCTTCTGCAGCTCATTCTGGAGAGTCAGTCGCTTGATCCCCCCAAAACCCTCACGACAACCGCTGGGTCCTCCTGGCTTCTGGCCAAGTGTTCATTCCTGAACTAATCCACTTGGCTAAGAAAATGGGAATGATTTACATCACTGGAGAAAACCATTGTCTGCAGGGAGAAAGCCCGTCCTGAGGCAGGAAAAAGGATCAATCTCCCCACAAAACACAGGCTGCCAGAGAAGGGCAGACAGAAGTGTTTTGGGGAAACAACCGATGTATCCATCAGACTTCCAAAACACAGAGCTCTAGAAAAAGAAGTTCCTAATTTCTGAGTCCACAGGTGGGTCATTTCTATCCTTCATTCATCCACCACCTGCGGAATCCTGAATCTCTGAGTACACATCAGGCCTTGCTAAGAAGGTGGCCCAGACGTGTATTTGATTCACATGCATCAAATACAATATAATAAAACATTGTATTTTTCATAAAACGACACACTGGTTTGTCTATTCAAGGTTACATAAAAATAGTACTAGGGTACTTAATAATAAATTAAGCAAACAAATTGATAAATATTTATTATTAGACAAATCAATTATATAATAATTGATTAAATAATTAATCATAGAATTTTTTTTTTTTCTTTTTTTGTGGTACGCGGGCCTCTCACTGTTGTGGCCTTTCCTGTTGTGGAGCACAGGCTCCGGACGCGCAGGCTCAGCAGCCATGGCTCACGGGCCCAGCCGCTCGGCGGCATGTGGGATCTTCCCGGACCGGGGCACGA